TCACTTGTCACATGCACATCAGAAACGTGTTCAAGGTGAATACAGATTTCATTCTGGAGGCTGGCATTGCGATGCAACAGGTTACCCCTCCTCCTGAGACTGCGAGATCCCCACGTGAACAGCCGTTTGGGTCCTGGCTGCATATTTTTCAGTGCAGCTCCCTGCTCATGTGCCTGGGAAAGCAGCAGAGGATGGCCCAGGTACTTGGCCCCTGCCACCCATGTAGGGGATCCATACAGAGTTCCTGGCTCCTGGGTTCAGCCTGGCCACACCTAGGGTTTTCTGGCCATTTAAGAAATGAGTCAGCAAACGGAAGATTTCGCTCTCTCTCCTTCCCTGCCCTTCCTCCTTCTCTTTCTCTGACTTTCAAATAAAATAAATGAACAAATGTTTTAAAAAGGATCTTTTGGAGCTGAGTCAAGGCCAAATCTGACAGCAGGAAACTCAGTCCAGGTCTCCGCATGGGTGGTAACAACTCAGTGACATGAACCATCACTGCTGTCCCCCAGGGTCTGCCTGAGCTGGAAGCTGGAGCCAAAAGCCAGAGGCAGGTATCGAACCCAGGCACTGGGCCATGGGACCCAGGCATCCCGACTCACAGCTTCCTCACCAGGCCAAACGTCCGCCCTTCAGGCTTTGTTTAAATGCTAGAAGATCAGCCAAAATGCTAAATAGTGGTGGTTGTGTCTGGTAGTGTTTTTCACATTTTGTTTAATAAGCACATATTCCTCTCTTAATGAGTAAAAATTAAAGATACCTAAACCCATTCATTTCTTTTATTGCCAATTTCCAACTAAGGTGGTTTCCCCCAGTCTCCAAGAGAGGAAGTAGACACTTGGAGGGGTCTACCTCGCAATCCATCTTAGCCCAGAGAACCGTGTCTGGGGAACCTTAGCGCCCTGCCACCTAGAATCGGAGACCCTCCTGCTGCAAGACATGCTGTGAAGGCCAGGGGTCCTCTGGCTCAGCACCTGCTGGGCGTGGTGCCTGGGTCTGAGACTCTATGCTGCAGTCCAGAGTCACGGAGTCAAGGCCCCACAGATTAAAGAGGCTCCTGGATTGAAAACGGCTCTGGGGTGTGTGTGTGTGTGTGTGTGTGTGTCACTGAGAAGAGAACCATAAAAAGAAAATTTCATTTCCTAAAAGTTCAGGCGTGATCATACAGGTTTAATTAGGAGCAGCACCCTGTTTACAGCAAATTATAAACTGCAAGAAGCAGATCTCAGTGGACACTCCCAAAGTCTGTCCCAGGAGCACTCACTGCTCCAAGACCACATTCAGCAGCTTTGCAAGGCCAGTCACAGGACTCACGCAGCAATCCCTTCCCAGAACTTTCTGGAAAGATCTCACGGCAAGTCTCCTCCTTTTGCTTCCGTTTTTCCTTGGACCTTGAAGACAGCCCCAGCTGCTTTCCTGGCTGCTCCTGCACCCATCTGCTGGAGATGCTCTTCAGAAACGGGCTCAGCCCTGTGTCATGGTGGGAGGGATACACCCGCAGGAGTCAAGGGCTTGGAGGCACTCCCTGGCGTTTAATTCTGGGCCAAGTTTGTCAACCAGGCAGACTCCAAGCTTCTATATATTTTGAAATGAAGATGAAAGAAAAACATCGATCTCCCAGGGAAAATGCAAAAATGAACTCAGATACCCTGAGGGTACTTCAACATTCTTTGGAAAACAGAATTAAAGGTTACATTTAGGGATGCACATTCGGAACAATTCTGGAAACTGCCTGGGGACGCCTGCATCTCATATTGGCATACCTGGATTGAGTCTTGGCCTCACTTCCAATCTGGCTTCCTCCTAATGCAGGTGCTATGAAACAGTGGTGATGGACTAAGTATCTGGGTCCATGCCACCCAGGTGGAAATTCCAAGATTGACTTCCAGGCTTCTGGCCTCACCCCAGCATTAAAGGCATTTGAGGAATAAACCCACAAATAGAAGATTTCTGTGTGTGTGTGTGTGTGTGTGTGTGTGTGTGTGTAGCTGTCTCTGTCTTTCAAATAAAACAACAAAAACAAGAATGTGTGTGTTTTTTGTTTGTTTGTCTTACACAAAAAGCTAAGTTTATGTTGATGCACGAATTTTGGAAATCGTGTGTAGTTCTGGTAGCTCTCTGTGACAGACAACCCATTGTCTACGCAGTGTGGTTAGCAGAGTTAGCACTCAGTGGATTTCACCCTTCCATTCCCTCCCCAGAAGTCATCAGAAGTAGAGTAAACAAGCAGTAAAACTCCCAATGAGTCTCACTTCAAGTACAACCCTGGCAAGACGGCCCTGGCATGGGGTACAGCAAGTGAAGCCACCTGCAAAGCAGGCCTGCCCTGTGAGCACCAGTTCGAGTGCAGCTGCTCCCTTTCCCATCCAGATTCCTGATTGTGGCCTGGGAAAACAGAAGAGGATGGCCCAAAGCCTTGGGACCCTGCAATTTGGGCGGAGACCCTGAAAAGGCTACTTGTTCCTGGGTTTGGTTCAGCTCAAGTCTGACTGCTGCAGCCATGTGGGGCGTGAACAAGCACATGGAAGATCTTTCTTTGCCTCTCCTTCTCTCTGTAAAATCTGCCTTTGGAATAAAAACAAATCTAAACAACTACAACAAATACATGCCAGGGTAGTTCAGTAGAGTATTAATTCTGCTTCGACTTGAGCTGCTCTCAGTTGTTCATGCCAGCCTCTGCCCACTGCCAGTCTGGGGTAGTGCCCTCCTAAATGGGCCCCATGGCACCTACCTGGCTCTCTGCCTCTCAGCCTGGGAACACACACTGTGCATGATTACAGGGGCCTTCTTCAGGGCATCAAGATTGTGTGTGTGTGTGTGTGTGTGTGTGTGTGTGTGTGTGTGTGTGTGTGTGTGTTAACATTTCTTTTTATTGGAAAGGCAGATCTACAGAAAGAAGGACAGAGAAAGATTCTCTGACTGCTGGTCCACTTCTCAAATGGCTGCAGAAACTCCCCAAGAGGACATGCATCTACTTTATCTCTAGGTCTGCTTTGCAGAAAAGGGGGACCATGATTTGCAAGTGATAGTGACACTGGGCAGTAATTCAATTGCTTCTGCCAGCGGGCTGTGAGCAGTGTGGGGCAAGGACAGTGCCTCATTCACCTCCAAATGTACAGCACTTTACCCTTCTCAGTGGCCGCTGCCTGGCTCAGCTCTCTTAGAACCAGGGCTGCAAGTGAATATACTGTGGGGGAGTTTGATGCAATTAATGAGACAATGTGATTAAGATACAATTTTATTTGAAGGTGAATATTTTAGGATCCATGTATACCTTTTTCATAATTCACAAATAATTTGTTTCTTTAAAAATATTTAATTCAAAGGCTGTGTGTGTGTGTGTGTGTGTGTGTGTAAGAGAGAGATAGTGAGAGAGACCCTTGGGATCCTGTACCCACATGGGAGACCTGAATCAGCTCAGCTCCGCTGTTGTGGTCACTCAGGGAGTGAACCAGCAATTGGAAGATATTTCTCTCTGTTTCTTATTTATTTTTATTAGAAAGGCAGATATACAGAGAGAAGGAGAGACAGAAATATCTTCAACCTGCTGGTTTGCTCCCCAAGTAGCCACAACGGCTGGAACTGAGCTGATGTGAAGCCAGAAGCCTGGAGCTTCTTCAATTTAGAAGGTGAGGATTTAGCCATTGAACCATTGCTCTGGGTCCAAAATAAATATAATAATAATAAATAGAAATGTGTAAGTGCCAAGAACCACACTGATAGAAAATGCAGGCCCCAACCGCATTCCTTTCCCCTAGTCCCATTCTGATGACTCAAGTGTAAGTGACGACATTCCATGATCATTTCAGACAACCAGCCAAGGACCTGGTATCCATGCGTGGGTCTTAGCCACTGCCTGGGACTTCAGTAACAGCATTTCTTTCTTCTTAAGCCTGCAGCTTAACATGACCGCACCATGCAGCAGCATCTGGGCTTGTGCGACAGTAATAAATCAACTAGGAGATGGAGCAAGGTGGGCACGCATTGGCTGGCAGGAGCTGCAGGCCCATTTCTTCAGTCTCCTACCTAGCCCTCCAAACTTCAGTGGACAGCCCTGGACACACAGTGTGAAATCCCAACACAGGGCATGAGCCGCGGCACTGGAATCCTGCAAACAGTGTGTCCTTCACTCCACCAGCCTGAGTCCATGGCAGCTTTACAGGAACCAGAGAGCCCAACCTCAAGGCTCTTGGGGAAGGATGACTGGAATATTCTTAGAGGAGTGGGAGACCCAGGTTGCAAATAGGAGACATTCCTAGGCCAGCAAGCTTTTTGGATAACTTGATTAACAAGATGTTGGAGGAAGGAGACCTAGAAACCCGTGACTTCAAGCATTTGTGAAGATGCACTTTTCTCACCCGAAATGAGTTTAATACTGACATTCATCTTTTTAAACATAGCGCCATATAACTTGGATGTCATGTTGCTCAGGCCCTTCTCCCATCAACCCCTGCTTCTCCAGTGCCTCCTTCTGCAACTCATCAGAAGGCCCCAAATACAATGGAAGGGATTCTGTTGCAGGGAACCTACACAAGGTTCCTACTTGCAATTCCTTCCTTCATCCTAGGCTCACTGGGTGCCCTCTAACAGTCCTTCCACAAATGCTGGGATGCTTTCATACTTTGAAGTGCTCCATTGGAAGGAAAACACGGGCCTGGTACAATGGCTCAATTGGCTAATTCTTCCATTTGCAGGCACTAGTATCCCATATGTGCACCAGTTCATTTACTGGCTGCTCCACTTCCCTTCCAGCTCCCTGCTTGTGGCCTGGGAAAGCAGTGGAGGATGGCCCAAAGCCTAGCAACCCTGCATCTACATGGGAGACCTGGAAGAAACTCCTGGTTCCTGCCTTCAGACTGGATCTGCTCTGACCGTTGCGGTCATTTGGGAGAGTGAACCAGTGGATGGAAGATCTTTATCTCTCCTTCTCTGTAAATCTGCCTTTCCAATAAAAATAAATAAAAACTAGTTTGAAATGGAAATAGTCTCTATATTTCTGCTTTATGCAACAAATTGGCCTGGAGCTAGAAACAGGAAAAGCTGGGCTATATATAAATCAGTCAGCAATCCACGTCGTGAGTCGAGACCCAGCAGAGCCCAGAGCCGGAGAGAGCCAGAGAGCCACTGCTACGATCCTCCCTGTGTGCTGCTTCACCTGCTGCTACAAGGTCATGGGCAACAAGTGGGCACCCTACCTGGAGCTGCTGAAGGCCAAGTATACCGAGGGAGACACCCTGGACACCCTGGGCCTGAAGTATTACTGCTGCCTCCTCATGCTGCTGTTGCTTGTGGATCTGATGAAGAAGCTGCTCAACTACGCGTCCCTGGAGAAGTGACCACCAGCCTGGCCCCCTGCTGCCTCCGGTCATGGACATCCATGTCCTGCCTGGAGCTCTTGAAGTGGAGGTGGGGGATGCTGGTCTCCATGGCCAGTAGATCACTTGACTGACACGTATTTGTAGAAATGCGTCTGCCTAATGGAGACTCTAAGGTGGACTATGTCAGCCAGTGGAGTCTAGAGAGATTTCATTGTAATTTGGAGTGGAAAGATCAGCAGCAACTGTTGAACTATCAAAACCACTTGAGCAGGACCCTCGCAGCATGCCCCACAACGGGGACCTGGGATGGTTGGGAGGCTGGTCGTGGCTTCTCTCCTTATCTCTCCCCTTCTCCTAGATATAGGAAGGAAAAAAGAAAATGTGAAAACAGTGGTTTCACCCGCTTTCCTCTAGTCCTTGACCCTTCACACCCTAATCAAATATGTAAAAATTCTCAAAAATAAGATTTGTACAATTAAAAAAAAAACAAAGGAAACGCTAACGTGCAAATGGAAAAGGTGATTTGACGAATTTGCATGGGATGGGGTAGTGTAGCCAGCTAATCCTTCGCCTGTGACACTGGCATCCCATATGGACACTGGTTTGTGTCTCAGGTGCTCCGTTTCTGATGCAGTTCTCTGCTAACAGCCAGGGAAAGCAGCAGAAGATGGCTCAAGTCCTTGAGACCCTGCTGGGCCGAGACTGCTAAATCTTTAATGCCACTGTTTATTTCCCCTTATGTCTGGAACACCCTTCTTCCCATGTGTGGGAGGGTTTCCCATCATTCTCCTTAGGGTCTCCCCTGAGCACCAGGTTACAAGCAGTTACTAGCACAGGTGCTGTGGTGTCATGAGTCAAAGCTGTAGCTGACAATGCTGGCATCCCATATGGGAGTGTCAATTTGAGACCTAGCTACTCTACTTCTAATCCAGCTTCCTGTTAATGTGCCTGGGAAGGCAGCAGAGGGTAGCACTGGGCCCCTGCCAATTATGTGGAGGACCAAGATGGGAGTTCCTGGCTCCTGACTCCAGCATGAGCCAGATGTGGCTACTGCAGTCATTTGGAGAGTGAATCAGTGGGTGGAAGATCTTGCTTGCTCTCTCTCTCTCGCTCTCTCTCTCTCTCTCTCTCTCTGTTGCTCTTCCAAAGAAATTAGTTTTTTTTTTTTTAGTTGCTTACCTCTTGCCAGCACATCACCCTGTTTTATGTTCCCATAACCCTTGCTGTCTCTGATTCTTTTTTTTTAATTTTGTTTTTATTTGAAAAGATGTGCAGAGAGAGAAGAGACAGATTGATTTTCCATTTACTGGTTCACTCTTTTTAAAAAAAGATTTATTTGTTTTTATTGAAAAGGCAGATATATAGACAGTAGGAGAGACAGAGAGGAAGATCTTCCGCCCGATGATTCACTCCCCAAGTGGCTGCAATGGCTGGAGCTGAGCCAATCCAAAGCCAGGAGCCTCATCCGCGTCTCCCACACAGGTGCAGGGTTCCAAAGCTTGGGCCGGCTGTCTTCCTAGGCCACAAGCAGGGAGCTGGATGGGAAGTGGAACTGCTAGGACTAGAACTGGGACCCATAAGGGATCACGTTACATTCAAGGCGAGGACTTTAACCACTACGCTATCACATCGGGCCCTACTATTTCACTCTTCAAATGATTGCTACAGCTGAGCTGGTCTGAAGCCAGGAGCTTTTATCTAGGTCTCCCAGGTTGGTAATGAGGTCCAAACTCCTGGAGCATCTTCTGCTGCTTTGCTAGGCTCATCAGCAAGGAGCTGAATTGAAAGTGAAGCAGTGGGTCTCAAACTAGAGCTCATCTGGGATGCTGACACCACAGGTGGAGGCTTAACCTACTACACACCATGGTGTTGACCTGTTTTTATTGACTATGCGTTACTTTTTGGTTACCCGAGTTTTCCCTTAAGCATAAGCTCGATTAAAGTAGGGGACTTGTCTGTGTTATTCTCCACCCTACAACAGAGCCAAGCTCCTCAGAGCATGTGGGTGGCATGGAAAATCCTGCAGAGGGTCCCTGACATAGACGGTGTAATTTACTGTCTTTCATCCCCGTTCCTTACAACGATGCAAAAATGATGTGTGGTTAGTCCTCTTTCATGAAGCTACAGGGGTCACCAACTGGGGGCAATGCAGATGCTGACTCAATGATGGGTTTGTCAGGGTATGCCTCTGTCCCTCACTGAGGAGCACCTGCTCTGCCCAGGTCATCTGAATGGCTTCCGTATGTGAGCAGAACATTGGAGAAGACTGACCTTGGGGTGGTCCCATCAAAGTCTAAATCAGTACTTGGGGCAGTGCTTCCAAACTTGAGCAGCACAGTGCTCACATAAATGAAACAGCTCTGCTGAGGGACCAAGGACTCAAACATCTTCCTGGTGCATGGGCTAGTTGTCTGTAGGGTGAACAGTATACACAATGATGGCTTAGAACCCGTTCTTCACACACATCATGATCATTAATGAATCATTAATGAGTCCAGCCTCATGCTAGGATTACCCTATAGAGCAGCTTTTAAAGGTACTTATTTATTTGCTAGAGAGAGTGCATATGCGCAAACTCCCATCCACTTGTTCATTCTCCAAATGCAAGCTATGGCTGAGACTGGGCTGAGGTCAAAGCCGGCAACCAGGAAATCAATTCCAGGTCTGGCAGGGATCCAAGCACATGAGTCATCACCTGTGGCCTCTCAGGATCTGTATTAACAGATAGCTGGATTCAGCCAGCAGCAGGAGCCAGACATGGAACCCAGGCAAAGCAGTGTGGGACAGGGGCGTCCCAGCCAGAAGCCTCACTGCTAAGTCAAACGCCCACCTCTGGCGTAGCTCCACACAGTCACAATGTCTCTCCTTAGAACTAATCCATCCATGAGAGCAGAGAATTTTTTTTTTTTTTTGCCTATTATGCTCACACCACAATCTCAACATTTAATGTGATGCCTGGCACCTAGTAGGCACCTAGTATTTGTAAAAAGAATACATAAGGGCCCAGTATGATGGCTCAACTGGCTCCTTCCCGTTAAAGCACTGGGATACCTTATGGGCACTGGTTCATGTCCCAGCTGCTCCACTTTTGATCCAGTTTCCTGCTTATGGCTTGGGAAAGCAGTAGAGGATGGCACAAGGCCTCGGGACCCTGTTTCCTTGTGAGAAAAAGCTCCTGGCTTCAGATCACCCCAGCTCCAGCCATTGTGGCCATTTAGGGAGTGAACCAGTGCAAGGAGGATCTTTCTCTATCTTAGTAAATCTACCTTTCCAATAAAATAAATCTTTTAAAAAATGAACTATTTCTTTTTTCCTGTCCTCTGGTCTTCAGTGAAGAAAGTCTAAACATTGGGGCGCGGCATGGTGGTCTAGCAGCTAGTCCTCACCTTGAATGCACTGGGATCCCATATGGGCGCTGGTTCTAGTCTTGGTGGCCATGCTTCCCATCCAGCTCCCTGCTTGTGGCCTGGGAAAGCAGTCAAGGATGGCCCAAAGCCTTGGGACCCAGCACATGGAAGAAGCTCCTGGCTCCTGACTTCAGATCGGCTCAGCTCCAGCCATTGCAGTCACTTGGGGAGTGAATCATCAGACGGAAAGTCTTCCTCTCTATCTCTTCTCCTCTCTATAAATCTGACTTTGTAATAAAAATAAATAAATCTTTTTAAAAAATGTACAAACATTGCTTCAACCTAATGAAATCAAACTCTCATTCTTATGGTTCACAGTTTCGGGTTGTGTATTCCTTATTGCCTCATATTTTCCCAATGAATCTTCGGTGGCATTGGGAAAAAGGAGTGTTAACATTTGGATGTCAATTTTCTTTCAAAAGATACTGTGGGTGGTTCTCAAGACATCCTGGGAGACAGGTGTTCTTATCAGCCCCGTGTAGGAGTAGATAAACAGGCAGGAGACATGGTCCCAACACCGCTCAGGTGGTGCTCAAGAGCCTCCTTCTAGGGCCTGGTCTGCTCATGTCAAAGTCCATGCTGATGCCAGGGCACCTGCTGCCACCTCCCCAGCTGCTTGCGTGTGACGTGGGAACACTTCCTCTTTCCAGGCTTTGGGTCCTTCATCTGGAAAAGCTCCAGAATCTCTCAGCCCCCTCCATGTATACATGCTTTTGAGTCTACAAGACTTTTGTTTTCTTCATCAAGTATCTTTAAATTGCTGTAACTTTAAAAAGTACTAAAATGTCCATTAGTAATTGCACAGCTTCCCAAAATGAGTCAGGTGCTAAAAATTAAACATATTAACACCTTTTTATTTTGTAAGTAATGCCAAGAGAAAAACACCTTGAAAGAGAATGAATTGGTTTTCTTAAGGATCTTCTTCTTTTTTTTTTTTACTTAAAAAAAATAGCCAGGAGAAGATTCCATTCTCAGCTCATTTAAAAATAAGTAATATGGAAGGAACAGCAGCAACTTTAAATGAAGCCACTAAGAGCACAATAAAAATAAATAAATCTGAAATATTTGACTACCAAGTAGCTAAGTAAACCTTTATAAAAAAGAAATAAGAGGATATGTGGATTCCCCAACAATTTTTTTTGCACCAAAACATATTTATCCTTCAAGTCTGTGTTCCTTATATTTCCAAATACCCTCCTAAGGAGGCAAAGCCTGGGCTTCAGTTTATTATTTATCTGAGAAATTCCCTTTGAAGGCAAAACATTTGTACTATTTCCACATCGAAGCTGCTGTTGAATAAGAGAGCAAGGGACTCAGGCGTCTTCTCACTGCATGCTTTGTTTTGTCTCCAGTTTTTACTCATGGCCATGTACAAGTAAGCATCTTTTGAAGTCCCATGAAAAAACGTTACACAGAGAACTCTGCACTTGTATATTGTTTTGGGGGGTTTATTTTTGCTAAAAAGTAGAATTCACACAAGAAAAAAAAACATGCAAAATACTTTTGTGCACATCCCTAGCATGCTACATTCCACTTCTGAAATCTTACCCCCCACCACCAAAAAAAAAAAAAATACCAACACAAGTGTACTGGGGTTGAAAAGTTAACATTATAAAAGCTAGATTCCTAACACAAACAGTGCAGATGGGAGTCACTCAGTGGCCAGAAGTTACTGTTTACAAATGTTAAATTCAAGTCAACAATGAGGAACGGAGAACTGGAAATCCAGAGTGGTCTCCCCATTGCCAACAGAGCGTTACGAATGCTGTCTGGTGGGACACCACTGGTCCCACCATGACATCCATGGTGGCGATCTGGAACTCGAGACAATGCAGCAGACACAGAGCAAGGCACGTTCACAACTCCCTCTTCTTCCCGCCACCTTTAAGATGGTTTATCTTCAGTGAGCATCCCAATAAATCCACACACGCTAGGTCTGACATGTGAAAACGCTGCTTCAAGAAAGGACTACACTGAAGCAGTCCTTGCAGAGAGCTCATTTCTCTTCTGAAGGGCCACACCTGTTTGAATGATGCTGTGGAGGGTAGGTGTGAGTAACCTTCAGAAAGAGAGTGGGGAAACTCCAGGGGACCAGTTTGTTCTCTACTTGAGACGGTCTCTGATCATCTGACATATTCTTTTAGGAGCAAGCCTGCTTGGAGCCTTTCTGTGCAGTCAGCAGCCTCCTTGATTCTGAGCATCTGAACTGTTCAGAAACAACAGCCAGCTTCAAGGTATGTGTCTGCCTCTCCCCATAAATTCCCAGGTTGTGCCCCTAACTGGTGGACTGACTGCCCATGCTTAGCCCTCACTTTCTCCAAGCACCAAAGGTAAGGAGGTGCTGTGGGCCAGGAGACCTACGGAGGGGAGGTGGGGGAGATTGGTGGCTTCACATGGACAGGAGAGGGGGTGGGGTACTCCTGGGGGTGGGAAAGGGAGGTGAGGGGGATTGGTGGCTTCACATGAGCGGGAGAGGAGGTGGGGGACGCAGGCTTCCTGCCAGGGACACAAGTAGCTGCCTCCTTGTCACACTCGCAGGGGGAAGAGCCCCAGTCCAGTAGACTGGTAGTCTCCTGGAAGCCTCAGTTCCCAGAAAAGCAAAGCCAAGAGTTTTAATGCATTCCGGTAAAACTTTTCAAATGTGCAGGAAAAAAAAAAAAAAGCAGGGGTGAGGAGAGAGTAGCAGAGTTGGAAGGGCGCCCGGATGCTGTGCCCAAGCAGGAGCCATCCATGCACAAGCTGGCGTTGGTGCCACAGCTGCTTCACTGAGTAACTGTGCTTCCTAAAAAGGACAGAGCCGAGCAGCTTCCGCAGCAACCCAACAGCCGGGCCACGTTCACCTCAGCTCCCACGGTCACTGACACGGTGGAGAGGCTCGCGGGCCCATACCTACTTCCATAAAAAGACTCAGTTGCACACATTCTCAAAATATTGGCCCAAATGGCCAAAGCATGGATCTTGGTCCATCTGTTCCTCCCAGCAACCACCCAGGGTTTACCATGGACCTGTGAGATGGACAGTGCAGACCTGCAAGGGGAGAGGTTCCACCTGCTCCTTAGCTCCTGCTGAAGGTGCCAGCAAATCAGGAAGAGTCTGAGCTCTTGAGCCACCACCCTCTTGGAACACTGCCTGGCTCTGCCCATTCACAGACCACGCACCTAGTTGGGGGTGGGCCCAGGGTGCTGGGGCAGACTAGGGGTGGTTTGCATGTTGGGGAGGGGGTGAGACACATGCATGGATACTCAACCCAGAGCCCTTTGCCAATGCCTGCTCACACACCACAAAGCCAGATGGGAAGAAGCCAGTTCCACTCTCCCCGCACAACTGAGGCAGGACCATAACCTTGCAGGGATGTAGGGGTGCTTCACGGCCAGAGAGGGAGCCCTCCCCAAGCTCAAGCCACTGCCCAGTGAGTGGCCCCCGCTGGATGACAGTGCTGTGGACACGCCAGGACTTTCTGTCCAACAATTCCAGCTTGTGCGGGGTCTGAGGCCCGATGCACAGAGGTCGCTCCGAGAGCTGGTCGGGGGAATAACACTTCCTTTTTTGGTGAGGAAAGCCTGATCGGATTTAACTAACAAGCTCTCAGCTATGGCTCTAAAAATAACCTGCAGCGAGTGAGGGTTTGGCACTCGCTCTTGTTTGCCAGAGGAGTTTGGGAGACCTCAGCTTCAGAGTCTCAGCAAATGACAGACCGACCAACTAACCACACTGAGCTCAGTCCCCATGCCGGGACAGACGGAGGACGCAGCAAAGGGTGTTAGGGCTTTGGGAAAGTCGTTGTTCATGAGCCACTTTGGAGGTCTCGGAATTCTGTCCTAAACGTTTGAAGTACAACACTACAGAGTCTTGGATTAATTGCTAGTTTGGTGGAGAATGTTCGTTTGGCTTCTAGTCTGAACTATGCAAATGCACATTCTGTGTACAGAAGGAAGGACTAAAATTATACTTCAAAGGGGCTCAATCGCTTCCTCCTTCCCCTTTCCCCCCCAAAAAAGACACATCAGACTGCGAATCCACTGTTGCCAGCAGCAGGAGCAGCTGCGGGTCTTGTCTCGCCCGCACAGGCTACACTGAGCCCCCTACACATTGATGGCGTGGGCGTGCTTCTTGCACAGGGGCTTGTCCTTCTTGGAGTAGAATGGCTGTCCCTCCAAATTCACGTGGCAGACCTGGAACAGAGAATAGAGCGGCGGTGAGGGAGGCTGGTTGCCCACCCAGTGAGGGGACGTAAGCTTCTGCTTCTGCCACTCCTTTAAGGAAGACACTATCATACAGAGCCAGCCAGGTGCACGCGCGCGCACACACACACACACACACACTGTGAGAGAGAGTTCCCACCTGCTGGTTCACTTCCCAAATGCTCACAAAGGCTGGAGTTAGAGGTAGTCAAAGCCAGGGTCTCAACTCAGGGCTTGAACATGGGTGGAAGGAACTCAGTTGCTCACCTCCAAGGGTCCACATGAGCAGGCAGCTGACAACAGGAGGGAAGCTGGTCCTCAAACCCGTGAACTCCAATATGGGATATAAGTACCTTAACCAGTGCCTAACTGCTAGGTCAAATGCATGCCACCTTCCATTAGTAAACTCTCAATGACTAAAACAAGGTATATGGGCTTGATTATTTAAAAGTGAATCCTTCTGCGGCAGTCTATCGGGCCTGCAGAGGACATCTGGTACCATAGCAGAGGATGGAAGGCAGAACAAATTACACAACTCTCCCAGTCAAGTGTGGGCAGCAAGTATCTAGGCAAATGGAGACTCTAAGGTGGACTATGTCAGCCAAGGGACCTTTGAAAGGTTTCCTCATCCTTGGAGCGGTGAAATCAACAGCATTTCAGAACCATCGAAGCCACTTCAGCAGCAATCTCAAGCATGCTCCACACTGGGGACCTTGGGATGACATCGGGAGGCTGTCCCCTATCCCCAGGACTGAAGGGTTAGGATGCTGAACGCAGCTTCTCTCCTTCTCTCCCCTCTTCCCCCAGATACAAAAAGAAAAAGAAAACTAGAAACAAATCATCTCATCCACTTTCCCCATATTCCTTGACCTTTCCCCAACCTAATCAGTGGTTCACATGGGCATGCATCCTTCTCAACTATGTAAAATCACAAAAAAATAAAATCTAAAAAGAAAAAAGTGAATCCCTCCAAGAACTAGAACTGAATGAACAGCATGCAACAACAGAGAGGAAACGTGCATAATGAAGATGACCAGTTCATCTATGACCAGTTCATCTTCATTATGTAAGAAACCAGTACAAGTTCAAAAGCCAATACTCAGAATTAACATCTCAAGTGAACTAACCAATAGATCAGAAAAGATGATTCTCACTAATAATGAAAGAAAAAAAAAACATTTCAACTTCCCGGAGATAGATACCACTAGACATCTAATAATCTAGCAAATTGAGTAAGTCAATGTCTTCTCACCTTTAACCTTCCATGACTCAGGCTAAAAAGTGAAAAAAGAAGAATCAATCCCCATTCAGCAGTGCCAGAAGGGAATGTGTAAGCTGCTAGGGACAGGTGGGTCAGGTGTTCTGTAAGGCAGTCGGCTGCACTGAACAAGGGCCATGGAGATACGCCTACCCTACAGCCTTACAATGCCACTCTGAAGACTTACCTTACAGCAATGACACCACAGGAGAAGGGAACATGTGCTTCTGCTTCTGTCACTCCTTTAAGGAAGACACTGTCACACAGAGTCGGCCAGGAGGCAGGAGCGCACACACACACACACACACACACACACACGCAATGAGAGAGCGCTCCCACATGGGAAACCTGGGATGGGCACTGGGCACAGCAGTTAGGCTGCTACATGGGACACCTGCAACCATGTCAGAGTGTCTTTGTTCAAGCCCTGGCTAGCTGCCTGCTGACATGTATCTCTAGAGATGGCAGGTGACGGCTCAAGTATTCGGTCCCCTGCCATTCACATGTAGACTTGGCTTGACCTCCAGGCTCCAGGCTTTGGCCAGGCCCAGTCCAGGATATTACCAGCATTTGGGGAGTGAATTAGCGGATGGAAGATTTTTTGCAATCTTTCTCTCTGTGTCTCTCTCCTTCTCTCTCTGTCTGTCTCTTTGTCTCTCTGTCTCCCCCTTTCAAACAAAGTAAAATACATTTTAAAAACTTTTAAAAAGAAAGAGATCTTTTAAAAATCGAATGGAAAACTACCAAATCTTTCCTTAAGGAGATGATTAAGTTTATGGTGCAATTGTTTATGATTTATTTTCCAAATATAATATCACCAAGAAAGAAGACAAATCAAACAGAGAAAAACCCCTACAGGAAAATATATGAAAAAAAAGAGACAAATTATATATTCCCATGATGATAACCTATGAATACAGTTTGAAGCTGGAGATATCATAGAGAGAAAGAAACTAATATTTATTTTCTATTTTTTTTTTAATTTGAAAGGCAACATGATAGGAAGAGGCAGAGAGAGCCTCCATTCCCTGGTTCACTCTCCAAATGGCTGCAACAGCCAGCGCTGGGACAGGCTGAAGCCAGGAGGCTGTAACTCCATCCATGTAGGTGACAGAGGTTCAAACATTTGGGCCATCTGCTGCTGCTTTTGGCAGGGAGCTAGATTGGAAGTGGAGCAGCCAGGACATAAAGTGGTACCCTTATGGGATGGCAGAGTAGCGGATGGTAACTTTGCCAGCTATGCCACAATCCCAGACTGGGGACCTGATCTGAGGCTGCAATGGCCCAGGCAGGACGCTGCTCTCTGTACACAATCTCATTCAATTCTCACAAAGACCTTAGGGGATAGATATGCCTTTCTCACATTTCACAGTTGAAAAGCTGGACTCAGCCCAAATGTCTTATTCATGTCACGGAGCTTCTGAAGCATAGAGGTAGGACTTTCTGTCTACTGGGTCTGTGCTGATTGATTCTGAGAGCCCCCAGCCAACAGGGGCTGTGACATGAAACTACTCTGGAGGTAGAGGTCAGAACAGAGGCGTCCCCCCTCAGTGTGGTAGGTTGCCAGAGGACACACTCAGTATGCTGACCTCAGAAGGAGGGAGGCAGATGGAGCCCCTATCTACAGGTAGCAGTGGGGATTAGAAAAGCACCCTTCCAGACTGGACATGACTCACTGAGCACAGATTCACCCCAAGAGAGCTGGAAAGGGACACTGGGCATTGTGATGGCCCCAGGGGCAGGTCTCTGATGGCCCAGTGCTATGGCTTGGATGTGGTTTGTCTCCCTGACACTGGGTCTTCAACTTTGTGCTGTCAGGAGTTGATGGGACCTTTAAGGTGGGGCCTGATGGAAGTCATGGGTCAATTAAGGACATGACCAATAAATAGATTAGGCAGCTTCTCCTGGGATCCCAGCCAGTCCTTGAGAGAGACCCCTGTCAGAGAATCCTGAGTCCTGCCCTACCAGGTCTCCATTTCTTGCTTCCTGTCTGGTGATGGCTCCCCCAACCTGCCTGGTCTCCCTCCATTGCTATCTGTTATGATGTGATACAGCGGGAGCTGGTAGGGAGGAAACATGGGCAGTGGAACTGCGCTGATGTCACTGTCATGTCCTGGAACCTGCAGGACTGTGAGTTAGATAAGCCTCTTTTCTCTATAATGCCATCCTGACTCAGGAATTCTATCAGCAATGAAGAAAGAACACATCAGACCTTGCAACAGGCTGCTGGGGACAACTGGGAAACAAGTCCCAGAAGACAGAAGTTTGGGATCTAGCTGGAGAATGAGGCTTGGGGAAGATAAAAAGGTAACTTAGGAGGGGTCAGCACTGTGGCACAGCACATTTAACCTGCCACCTGCAATGCCTGCATTCAATACAGGTGTCAGTTCTAGTCCTGGCTGTTCTACTTCCTATCCAGCTTCCGGATAAAGGCCTGGGAAAGCAGTGGAGGCCTTATATCCACATGGGAGACCTGAAAGAAGCTCTTGGATTTTTGTTTCAGACCAGCCCAGCTACAGCTGTTGTAGCCATCTGTGGGGCAAACCAGTAGATGGAAGGTCTCTCTCTCTCTCTCTCTCTAACCCTGCCTTTCAAATTAAAAAAAAAATTCTTTGAAAATTTTTAAAGTGATTTGGAATATAAACTGATAAACAGATGACAAAAAATTTTAGTTTTTCAATCAAAAGATTTCTTTCCAGATCATTCTGTTTTGCCATGTCATCCTGGGACAGTGGGAGGCATATAGGCCTTAGACCTCCATGCCAGTTCTCTGAAGGACAGGATCTGCTAGCCACTGCTCCAGGCCTCCCCCGCCGAACTGGATTCCATTCTCTGTAGCTCAGGAAATCAGCAGGAACTACTTGCGATTTAGTGCTTCTCCTGGTCTTTCCCAGCATGAATGCTGTTGTCACTCTCAGCTGGACAGAACAGGCTCGAAGGAGTGGGCCAGGTTCCTCTGGGCCAGGGCTCCTTCTCCATGCAGCTCTGCCCTCTCACCAGCCTGCCCTTGGAGAACAGCCTATTTTCAAGGCATCTAGCTGCCTGCATTGCTTCCAAATTTTTTTTCTTGGGGGGTGAGGGGATCCTTAAAGAAGGTGGAAAACCAGATTTGCAGGCAGAGTCTCAGGATCGGACAAGCCACGGCTTGGGTGTAGGGGTCAGAGAACCGCAGGCTATGCCTGGCTGGGCTGTGCACAGAACAACCTGCAGGGCAGTATATCTAAACTATGTTGGAGGAGGGGCATCTCAAGGACCTAAAAGGTAACTAAAAATCTGCTAAAAGACCTGGGGATTCAGAATGCTGAGGGACTGTGTCTCTCCAAGAGCGCATGCTGTAGCCCCAATCCTCATGACCTGTAACCTGCTCAGCACAGGGACATCACAATGGCCTTATTTGGGAACAGAGTCTTTGCAGACGTAATCCAGATGGAGAGTTAGATGAACTATGGTGGCGCTCCTGTGAGCCGATAAGGAGGAACACATGTGCAGAGAAGTCCACACAAAGACCAAATGTACAGTGGGCAGCCAGCACATGAGGATGGGGCAGAGCTGCCAATTAGGCATCTGAAAGCTGAGAAATTCCCAGGGCTGCTGGAGATCACCAGGAGTTAGGAAGAGAGTACTGCCTCTGCTCAGCATCTTGTTTTAGACCCTTGGTCTTCTGAACTGTGGTTTAAACCATCAGATGGTCCTGGCAGCCCTCCCAAGCCATTGGCACAAGGAGAGTATAAAACCCAAGACACAGAGCAGGAAACACTGACTAGGGCTGTCTTACAACATCTCTACCAGATTCTCAAGTGTAAACTGCACAGATGGGAGTGGGTGTTTAGCCAAGTGGTTAAGACACTGCTGTCCTACATGGCGTCTGATTCCCAGCTCTGGCTCCTGACTCCAGCTGGATGCTAATGCAGATCCTAGGAGCCACCGTGATAGCTTAAGTAACTGCATTCCTGTCACTCACTTGAGAAACTTGACCAGTTCCCAGTTCCTGGCTCCAGCCCCAGCTGTTGTGGGCAGTTGGGGAGTGAGCCAGCAGACAGAGAGTTCTTAAAATATCAAAAAATATTTTGTACATTCTTGAAATTTATGTTGGGCCACTCAATAAAAATTAGAAAAAAAATAGTAGGGGCGGTCATTTGGCCCAGTCATTAATACCCTGGCTGGGGGCATTTGGGGCATCTGTGGCCCATGTAAAAATGCCTTGATTCACATCCCAACTCTACTCCGAACTCTCCTCTGTAATGGGTACCCTGGGTTGAATCAGGTTACAGCTTTAGTACTGCTGTCTTGGCCACCCATGAGGGACACTCAGATTCAGTTCTTAGCTCCCAGCTTTAGTCCAGCCCAGCCCAAGCTGGTGCAGGCAACCATCTGTTCCTATCTCTGTCTCTCAACTAAACCTCATTAACTTTTAATTCACTTGAAAAACCAAGAGTAACACACTGATTTTCCCAAATCTAAGTCAGAGATGGGTTTTGTCGGCAATGATGAGCCTCCTCCAACCTGGAGTCTGGATGTTGTCGGCTCATGCCTGGACACCTACCCCAACCTGAAGTCCTCAGAACGAAAACACCAATCTCATAGTAACAATGACCCGGCTGTTCAGCAGAAAAAATTCACACACATTTAACCTAGGGCTCATTTCCTAACAGTTACATATCAACAGTAGAACCACTGAGGAAAATAACCTTCTAAAGTTCTATCAAGAGAAAAGCTTAGGGGACCTGGCATTGTGGCTCAGGGGGTTTAGCTGCTACTTATAATGCCAGCACCCCATGCCAGAGAGCAAACTGGAGTTCCTGCTGCTTTGCTTCAGTCCCAGCTCCCTGTTAAAGTGCTTGGAAAGGCAGACAAGATGGGCTCAAGGGCCCAGCATGGAAGTATAGTGACTAAAGTCCTCACCTTACATGTGTCAGGATCCCATATGGGAGTCGGTTAGTATCCCAGCTGTTCCAGCTCCCTGCTTGTGGCCTGGGAAAGCAGTTGAGAATGACTCAAGGCCTTGGGACCCTGCACTTGCGTGGGAGACCCAGAAGAGGCTCCTGGTTCCTGGCTTTAGATTGGCTCAGCTCTGGCTACTGTGACCAGTTGAGGAGTGAAACAGCAGATGGAAGATTCCCTTCTCTCTGTTAAGTCTGAGTTTCCAATAAAAATAAATAAATCTTAAAAAACAAGAAGAGGAGGAGGAGGAGGAAGGCGGCTCAAGTGCCTAAGCCCTGCCACCCATATGAGGGATCCGGATGGAGTTCCTAGCTGCTGACTTCAGTCTGGCCCAGGCCCGGCTGTTATAGCCATTTGAGGAGTCTGTCAATGAATGGAACATCTCTTTCTCTTTTTCTTTACCACTCTGTTTTTCAAATAAATAAAATCTTAGAGAAACTGTCAGTTTTTCATATGATCCTTCAATAGGCCCCAAGTTCATGTTCATGGTGAAAATTTGGAGAGAACCGTTTGACTCATTTCATTGTATCTGAAGCAATGCATAACCACAGGAAGCCACCTGCCCTCTTGGTAAGCCCAGGCATCATTTGCTGCCCTGCCTATTAAGAGTTTTGCTGGTGAGACAAGTTTGTGGTATGTCAAATCCTAGGACACTCTGCTGTCCATAATGAAATGGAAAGTAACAAGGCAATATTATTTATGAATAATTATTAGCAGTAAAACTTTGACGGACTATCAAGGCATAAGGGTATTTTCCAGACCTTAAATGTGATCAGAGGGGTGGGCATTTGGCACGGTGGTTAAGACACCACATTTGGGGATCCACATCCCATACTGGAGTGCTTGGGTTCAAGTCCCAGCTCTACCTTGGATCCAAGCTTCCTGATAATGTGCACCTTGGGAAGCAGCAGCGGATAGTCCAAGTGCTTGGGTCCCTCCCACCCACACGTGAGACCTGAATTAAGTTCCCAACACCAGGCTTTGCCCTGGCCATTACTATCAGTTGTAGACATTTGGAGCGTGAACTACTGGATGGGAGGTCTCACTCTCTCACTTCTGTCTCTAAATAGACCCACTGGAAAACCATATTAGAGTGTTAGAGTTGCAAGAGATGTCAAGGGCTGGTCATCTCCTCCCCTGCTCCCCTTCTCTCAGATGTTACAAACATACCGCACAGATGAAGCAGGTATCATGCCAGGTATGCCCCAGGGCTTCAATAAACTTGTCTCCAGCCTCCACGGGGAAATCGCAGCCATGACACTTGGTGCTGAACAGGTTGATGTAGTCTGCAAAGAAAGGCAGAGTGAGCACTGGGCTCCTGGGCACGCAGGCAGGCAGGAGCAGCCCAGGCACATGGACCCAAGACCAGGACAACCCATCCCAGTTAATGGGCTGGGAGCAGTGGGAGAAACAGGTGACTTGGTGTCAAAAATACAAGAGTATTTTTCTTCTTCTCCCATACTTTGTCCTGGAATTTGTCACCACCTTGTGCTGGTGAAGAAAGAAATGCTGGACTCAACCCTGGATTGATAATGAAACTGTTCAAACCTGGGATAAGTCACCTGACTTCTCAGGGTGTCAACTTTCTCATCATACCGTGAGAATCATTCCAGACCCAGACCCACGGAGCAATGTGCAGGGCTCGGTGCACACCAGCCATACCAGGGGGCTCTCACTCAGTCTCCACTGAGTGCCTGGAAGGAAGGGAGCCGGGCTCTAAGTGCCTGCTACCTCTTGGTGAATCCTCACAGCAGCTCTGTGAAAAGAGGCTATTCCCATCTGAAAAATGAGCAGAACGACTGGGGAGGCTCCCTCACACCAGGCCCGCCAGGCTCCAGAGCGCAGTTCCCTTCCCTGCTTTTCCACTGCCTCAGCTCCTCAGCTGTTGGCCACTGGGCTTTGATAAGTTACACTTCTCAAAAAAGTCTTGTTTAGACCTTGTGTAATGCCAGCTTTCCTCTGTTCTGCTCAGATTTGATCCTCCTTCTCTTGGAGAACACTCAAGTTCTCTCCCAGGACCAAGGAGATGCTGTGCCGCTGCCTTCAGAAAGCCACAGCTGGCATCCAGCTCAGTGAGCCGGGCAGGCTGTCAGCGAGCAGGACATGCTGGGCCACTTCCACCTGAGGGCAATTCCTGTACACCTGTGCACTTCTTCCTCATCACTCCCCATCAGTCTCTCGCACACCTGTGCCCTCCCTTGCACTTCCCAGGATTGTATCAATCAGACTCTGGGCTTGCAGGATGAAATTTCTGCAGTCTTCTGAGCCAGGTTTCTTTCCAGAAAATCCCCCCACCTCAAACAAGAGAGATGAGCTGGCCTTCCTGAAGGCTTTCCTTTCCTTTTCTTCCCTCTTTCTTTCTACCCACTCTTTTATCCATCCATTCCCTATCCTGGCTTGCTTCCACTCACTCACCCAGTCACCATTATCGCTCCCCCACCCACCCGCCATCTCCTGACTGTTTGTGTACAGGCTACTTGTCACCACCTTGTCACCCACCCATGCTGGTGGGTTTGCACGAGGATCTAGAAGGCAGAGATCCTGCTGGGCTCACTTCCACGCATGATCAACACATGTTTGACAGAAGATAAATGAACAGGCAAATGAATGGTTGAAACAGCCCTAGTCAACAGTGATTCCTTCTGCTGGCTTTTCACAGACGAGGCTCTTATAATGGCAAGAATATTTTTCTGGAATGTTTAGTCTCGTTTACTGATTGACTTCTCTGTTTTAAACTTGATTCTGTATGATCTAGACAATTGTCACTTTGTTTAGAAGTTGGTAGTGCAACCTGCCACCCACGTGGAAGGCACAGCTGAAGTTCCTGGCTCCTGGCTTCTGTCTGGCTCAGCCCTGGTTGTGGCAGGCATTTGGGGGAGTAAATCAACAGATGAGATTTTTCTGTCTCTCTCACACTCTGCTGTCTAAATAAACAAACAAGTATTTTAAAAACAGCACAAGTCTGACCCCAATATGTTTTTTGAAAGTTGCTATTTTTACTCCATTTATTCTACGAAAGGGGATTGTCACTGGTGTTGAATTAAGTCAGTGCGTGGGCCTTTCCCTTTGGGCATATCATCTAGCTCCTTGTTTATTTATTCCTTCCTTGATTTCTCCCTGTAGGTCTTTGTAATTTTCTTTGACTCTCTCGCTTATGTCCCACACTGAATTAATACCCTTGTATTTAATGGATTTTATAGCTATGGTAAAAGGTTTTCCATCCATCAATTCACAGACACTCTGTTTGAAAGAGAACTTACTGTTTTCTGAGAGCAATGCTTCCAAAACCACTGGAATCATGTGGGGAGTTTGTTAAAACCCAGATTGCTGAGCTCCACACTCCAGAGTTTCAGATTCTTCAGGTCTGGGGTGAGGCTTGAAGATCTGCATGTCTAATGAGTTCTTGGGTGAGGCTGATGTTGATGGCCCTGGGACCACAGCTGGAGAAACATTTCTGACTCCCAAACCTAACTGAATCTCAGTAATCCAGGCATGGAGCGGTACCCCGTGAAACCATGCTTCTGTCAGTCTTGTGTATACCTGGAATTCATCCTTGACGCTCAGAAGATGAAGCCTGATTATATCATGCTAAGCCAGTCACAAGAAGAGAAATATTGTTCTATTTCACTTGTATGTAGCTCTTTCTTCTGGAAAGTAGTATTAGAGACTTGCTTTATAACAAGGTGAATATGTTTAGCATTACTGAACTGAGCACTTAAAAGTAGCATAAGATGGTGACTTTTATACTATGGCCTTTTTTTTTTCTAATTATAATGAAAAAGAATGATAAGCCCAGTGTTGTGATACAGCAAAAGTTAAGCCACAACTTGCAAACCTAGAGTCCATATTGAATCTCTGGTTCAAGCCCTGGCTACTCTGCTTCCCATCCAGCTCCCTGCTAATGCACTTGGGAGAGCAACAGATGAAGGCTCCAGTAGCTGGGCCCATGTCACCCATAAGGGAGATCAGAATGGAGTGCCCAGCTCCCGGTTTCCACCTGACCAGGACCTGGTTGTTGTGTTCAGTTGGAGAATGAACCAGCAGTTGGACTATCTCTTTCTCTCTGTCTGTTCTCTCTTTATCTTTGAATTTCAAATAAATAAATACTTTTTTTTTTCAGAACTCATTTTAAGAAATGATGACAAGCTTAAGAAGCAAGCACAAAGTCTCATGGCAGGACACTGGTGACATCCCCTCAGGGTGATGTGGTTGTATTTATCAATCCCAAGGCAGACAAACCCTTCCAGGCTTGGGCCCGGCGCGGTGGCGCAAGTGGTTAAGTCCTCGCCTTGCACGCCCGGGATCCCATATGGGCGCCGGTTCTAATCCCGGCAGCCCCGCTTCCCTTCCAGCTCCCTGCCTGTGGCCTGGGAAAGCAGTTGAGGATGGCCCAAAGCTTTGGGACCCTGCACCCGCGTGGGAGACACAGAAGAGGCTCCTGGCTTCGGATCGGCATAGTATCGGCCCGTTGCGGCTCACTTGGGGAGTGAATCATCGGATGGAAGATCTTCCTCTCTGTCTCTCCTCTCTGTATATCCGCCTTTCCAATAAAAAATAATAAAAATAAATCTTTAAAAAAAACAAACCCTTCCAGGCTTGACTTTACCTAACTGTTGGATCATCTAGTCCTCCTTTCTTTACTTTCACATCCAATAAACATATTGAATTTTGTGTGCTCTTTTTAAAACAGAAATTATGTGTGGGTGTTTGGCCTAGCAGTTCAGATGCCCACTTCCTGTATCAGCATGCCTGCTCTGATTTCAGAGCCAGCTCTCTCGACTGCAGCTTCCTGGAGCAGACCTTGGAGGGAGTGTGATGGCTCAAGTAGCTGGGGTCCTGCCACCCACTTGGGAGACCTGGGCAGGTACTGGGGGAGTAGACCTGCAGATCAGAAGGCTTTCTCCCTGTTCTGGCTTTTTTCTTCTCAAGTAAGTGAATAAATAAATACAATTTCTCAATAAAGCACAAACTATATTGTGCTATTTTCTTGCCATAAGCATCAACAATTTCCATTGCTTATGGAAGTGAGTTTTATTTATTTCGATTTCTAAATTAATGATTATTTATTTTGAAAAGCAGAAAGACACACACACACACACACACACACACACACACACACACACACAGAGTTCTCCCATCTGCTGATTTCTTTCCTAAGTCCCTGCAGCAGCAAGGAGTGTAAGGTTGAATCTGGGAACCAGGACTTCAATTCAGGACTCCCTCATGGTGGCAGAAATCTACCCACTTGAGCCATCACCTGCTGTCTCCCAGGGTGCACAATGGCAGGAAGATAGACTTGTGAGAAGTCAGGATTCAAACCCAGCTACTCGGCTGCCCTAAGCAGCATCTTAATTGCTTGGTCAAACATCCACCACAGAAAGTGCGTTTCAAACTGTGCTCCACAGACAGCCACAGATCCATGCATGTTGCCCATGTGCCCTGGACAGGTGCTCTGCTAAGATGAACCTCTGCAAGGGAACAGAGACCCAGAAGAGTTGAGTGCCTTGTCAACAGTCACACAGCCTGGAGAAGGCTCACGTGGGTCTCTCATGGTCCCTGCATCTGATAGGAAGTCTGTTTGCCCACTGTCTTCACCTGTGCCATTGTCAATATGGTGGGTCTCTCTCCAAAAGTCACATCGAAGCTTGATGGCCATTGTGGCTTTAGGCCACCCTAAAGGTGGGACCTTTAGGGGGATCAGTGCCCTTTATGGACTATGCATGGTGAGCTCTGGATTTCTTGGGCTGGATCAGTAATCACAAGGGCAGGTTATTAGAACTGACACTTGGCGTGATGGCTCAATAGTGACCCGGAAGAAGCTCCGGGCTCCAGGCTTTGGATCAGCTCAGCTTTGGCCACTGTGACCAGCTGGGGAGTGAACCAGCAGATGGAAGATCTTTCTCTGTCTTTCTTTCTCTGTGTAAATCTGTCTTTCAAATAAAAAGAAATATTAAGAAAGAAAGAAAAGAAAGAAGGCAGGGCCACCCCTTGTATATGACCTGTCCTTCCACTTTCTGCCATAGATTGAAGCAGAGGGTTGTGGCCCTCACTGGTGCCACAACCTGGATGTATCAGCCTTTGGAACCAGGAATCAGGCAGACCCTCCCTTCTGTTTAAGTGACCCAGTCTCTGTCAGAGCCACAGAAAACAGACTGAGGCATCACAACCCTTTGCCATCTCCTTCCCGCACTTTCTTACTCAAAATAGCATTTTTGGAAAGTTTGTTGGGGTTGTTTTCTGGGGGAAGGGTGGAGAAGGACAGTGGGGTATTCTAATATAGAGACAGGCAGCACTGACACTGGAAATTTATTATTTTCTCATTAAGCCCCAGGCACCAACTGTGGCCTATCACAAATGATGGGAGTTATGTAATGCTTTTAGTAAATGAATAACAGCAACTTGCATTGGCAGAATAGAACTTCTATTAATTACCAATCAGTACTATTAAGCCAGATGTTATCTTCTCTCTTTTATAGCTTTGTATACTGAGGCCCAGAATGACTAAGCACCTTGTTCAAAGTCATTCAATTAACTTTGGAGCTGGAGAGAAAACTCGACAGTGTAGGAACCCACGAAATTTCTTTCAGAATTTATTATAAGCAGGGGAATGTTTTGATTTTTCCCTCGAGGAAGTGAAATGTCTTCATCTTTCTCACTTTTTTTTGTTTTTTTTTTTTAAGATTTATTTTTTATTTGAAAGAGTTACAGAAAGAAAGAGAGAAGAATGGAGAGATCTCCTACTTGCTGGTTCACTCTACAAATGTCTGCAATAGCCAGAGTTGGGCCAGTGTAAAGCTGGGAGCCAGGAACTTCTTCTGGGTCTTTCATGTGTGTTCAGAGGCCCAAGGACTTGCAGTATCCTTTGCTGCTTTCCCAAGTACATTAGAAGGGAGCTGGATGGGAGGTACAACAACCAGGTTTCAAACTGGTACTCATATGGGATGCTGGTTGCTGCAGGTGGAGGACTGGCTAGTTAAGCCACCATGCTGGCCCCCTTTATGATATTTTTTATTTAAAAAAAAGTGCCAAGTATAAAAAAAAGATTCATTTATTTATTGATTGATGCTGGCATTGTTGTAGAGCAGGTTAAACCACCCCTTGCAACACCAGCATCCCTCTGGGAAAGCAGTGAATGATGGTCCAAATGCTTGGGCTCCTACCACCCATATGGGAAACCAGGATGGGCTACTGAGCCAGCCTGAAGAGGATGCTGGCATAGGGCCTGGGACCACAGTCCTTCAGTCCTTGTGATCTCCAATCAGGATAGCCCAGACAGTTGCCCAAGTGACTGTGAGATGCCAATCTGTGATCGCATAAGCTGCATACTCTGTCCCCACCCCAGGAAAGCTGACTCAAGTGAGCAAGGAAACTAGTTCAGTCAACTTTCTGTGTGGAACACAGAGGGTTCCCGCTGCCAGATAAGGTGGGATACAGGTCCTGCCTCTATCCCGTGCCCTCCCACACTGGTGGGCCTTGGCATGGCATTGCACATTCCTACCTTTCTCGCAGTAGGGCTCCCCATCTTCCATGTGGAAGAGGCTGTTCCCAAAGGGCTTCTTGCACGCTGCACACACGAAGCAGGTGGTATGCCACGTCTGCCGCAGGGCATGCATCACTTCCTGGAGAAAGAGCCAGGGTTCAGGACAGAATGGTCCAGGAAAGAGGCGGAAGTGGACAAGGTTTCCCGCTGAGGCCCTGGCCACCACCTGAGCCTGTCAGGAGGGAGCAGGCCTGGGGCATTCTGAGAAAAGGCCCGGCAGGGGGCGGGGGGGTAGCAGGCTGGTTGCATCCAAGTTCCATGCCTTTTCACATATGCTATGGTAACTGGATCCTCCTGTACAACCCAGGAGAGAGGTCCAGCTTATCCCTGCTCTTTTTCTAAAGGGGCATGGTGAGGTCAGGCTATGAAGCAAGAACTCGCTTTGCAGGTGTCTCACAAGCTGTGTGGCATAGGCGTATAATCATCTCTTGCTTCAAGTTCATTTGATCCCTGGCTCTTTGGTGGCCAAACAACTCCCTTCTAAGGATGGAACTGGAGTTACTTTTTGTTCGCAGCAACTTCATGGCTTCCTGATGGGACCTTGCGATCTTGCAGGAGGGGGAGGAGTGGGAGGCAGAGGAGAAGGAGGGGGAGGAGGAGAGGTTGATCCAGGCTGGGACAAAGACAAGGGGCGGAGTCACTTACCCCCATGACCTTGGTGTTACACTTGGCACAAAGTGGGGCAAAAAACTGTTCATAACACCGTTCACAGTAAACGTTATTCTGCTCCTCCACAAACCACATGTCTACTAGGGAGGTCTTGCAGTAGGCACAGTTGAACTCTTCTGGGTGCCAGGAGCGACCCATGGCTACCAGGAAAGGGCCCCTTGAGGAAACAGAGAACAGCACGGAATGAGGCAGCTCCAAAAGCTGCAGGCAGATTATTTCATAATTAACACCCAAGAGTCTGATTTCTGTGACTGTCAACCAGTTACTGTGAAGTTCGGAGAAGGCTGCATGCGAAGAAGTGCTCAGTGTTGCATTGCTCATGATAAAGAGAACCACCTGTCCATGGCAGGTGATGGGTGAGTATATTACAGAATTTAGCTGGCCACTATGGATTTAAGAAGAATAATGACTGGTGTTATGGTGCAGTGGCAGAAGCCACTGCCTGTAACTCTGGCAACCCAAACAAGTGCTAGTTCCAACCCAGCTCTTGCTAAAGCACCTGGGAAAGTAGCAGAAGATGGCCCAAATACTAGCACCCCAGATGGAGTTTCAGGCCCCTGGCTTCAGCCTGGCTCAACCCTGGCCATTGTGGCCATTCTGCCTTTCAAATACATTAAAAAAAAAAAAGAAGAACAATAATGCTGACAGTTAACATGGATTAAGTGTTTATACAAGAAGAATCATGCGGGTTAATGTATTTAATCCTCACGGCAATCTTAAATGGGTATCGTCATGCTACTCCATTTCAGGTAAGGAAATTGAGGCACTGGGCAGTTAAGGCCACTGGGCTGTTAAGCAGGAGACTTGGATGCAAATTAGGGAGTCTAGTCCCAATCAGTCACACAGTGGGAGCATTTTGTGTGCTAACTCTTGCTTTTCTCTATTTGTTATTTCTTCTCTAATGAGGATATATCATTTTAATTTTAAATAAACACACACTCCCACACCCAGCAAGTATGCAAACAAGCACCGTTCACCACCCCTGGCTGTTATGTGTGAAATGACTTGTTCTCCCTTTCGTGTGGCTGACACCTACGAAGGTCCTGGGCCTCAGAAGCCTGTCTGTGGAAAGACCCAGAAGCCATTCGAAAGGAAAGCTGGGTCAAAACCCTCACTGTCAGCCAGCTTGTAACATGCTCCATAAAGTGCAGATTCCCAGCACCCAGCCTTAGCCCCAGGGGGAGCTCCTGGCACGGGTGTGCTGTGCTGAAGTTTTTCTTCTCTGATCTCATGGTGTGCTCCCATCCCCCTACCACCACCCCTAAACACGGTAGGGAAGAGTGGCAGCACTTGGGGCAGTTGCCTCCATAACGGCAGGCAGGACTCAGAGTGGGCAAGCACCAGCATCATTGCCTCCCAGCACCTGGCACAGAGACACAATAGCATGTACCGGATGACATTGTTGCAATGGCCGCAGAGTGGAGTCCGGCTGCTGGCTGGGAAGCGTTCAGCTCTCTGGACGGTGCCCCTGGCCAGAGGGGGTCCCTGGGAGCCTGCAGGGGCATAGGATGGGGCCCCCCGTGGCAGGGTCTGCTTGCTGACGGTGGTGGTGCTTTTGCCAGGGGCAAACTTCTGAGAGAAGCTGTCATCTGTCACCCAGGGGGGACGGCTGGCAGTTTCTGGGGTGCCCCCACCGTAGCCTGCTGCTGAAGTTGCTGGGGGTGCAGGGTTATAATTGGGGGCAGGTGAGGGGGTGTAGGCTGGCGCTGGGGAGGGGGAGTAGGCAGGGGCAGGGGAGGGAGTGTAGGAAGGGGCAGGGGAGGGCGTGTAGGGGGCTGGACTGTAACTGGCTCCTGGCGACGGGCTGTAGGTAGCTGCTGGCACTGCAAGGCAAAAACACCCAAAGAAAAACGCATCAGAAATCTGCTCTCTCCACTGTCTCTGGTCCTAGTCAGAGAGCTGCAAAACAGCAGGAGCTCCAGTGTTTTCGGGGAGACATGCCCTTGAACTTCTTGATACCAAGATTTTCATGATGAGGACCAAGTGCAGGACAGCCTGGGGAGGAATGTGGGTATAAACACCCACCCCATGCATGGTGGGCCTTCCCAGGCCTTGTCCGCCCTTAGTCTGTGCGAGAGGCAGTGGGAGTAGGGCAGGTCAGATTCGACTGCAAGAAAGATGCTTCGAAATGCACTTGTAGAACCCAGACTAGGCCAGACAATAAGACAAAGCTGACCCCTTGATATTGGGTTTTCCAGTTCAGGTTTAGCTACAATCACTTGAAACTCAGGTTGACTTGACTTGCAGGGAGAGTGAGGGTGGGGGAGGGGATTCCATCCTAGGTCGGTTGGGCAGAGGGTGGGGGCAGGATGTCTTGGAGGAGTCAGTGTTAGCCTGGGCAGAGATGCAACCTCTTGGTGTGTGTTGGGGGATCCCTGCAACCCCATGCACGTCTCTTTGGTGGACACAGATTTTTTGAGCAGCCGACTAAGCCTGCTTTGGAAGCAAGGGTGCTAGAAGAGAATGCGCTGGTTGCCCCATTTCTGGTGCCACCTTCTCCTGTTCCCTGAGCATGGAAACACTTTCAGGTCTCCCAGTATGAAAGGAGCACTACAGCCAGCCACTAACCACAGCCCTCTCAGACCTGGATCCTCAAAACCTAACTGTTTTGGACACTCTGTGGCCTCCTGGATGGGGCCCTCGCTTTGTCTCATCCAATGATACACAATAGCCAGTAGTCTCCTCTGCCAGCACAGCAGGTGCCAGCTGCCCCATCCCAGCTCACAGCCTGCCAAGGAGCCCTTGATCCTCAACTCCAGTAAGCACGTGGGGCAGCCTCCTCCCACCACCCTGGTTCCTAAGCGCATGCTGGGCAGATGGACTCTGCTCCCACCTGTGGCCTCTTTCCCCCAGGGTGGATCTGAGCCTGCACTCCAATGCTGCACTCCAATGTACCCATCCTTCAGAGCTGGGGGGTGGGTAGGGACTAGGCCTGCCTTCGTAGCAGTGAATGTACAAAGGGGTGAAAGCCTACACAGCCCTGCCCCCTGGAAGTCATTCTGAGACTGATGTTGGCTTCTAGAAGCAAAACCTTCTCCCTAAGGAATCTTCCTCCCACTTGCTAAGGGGTGGGGAAGCCACATGGGAGATTGTCTGAGTCAGTCCTTGCATTATCCCCTTTGCCCATGAGATCACTGGGGCTGTCCAGGAATGGAACAGTGCGAAGCTCTGAATTGATTCTTTCCAGTGCCTGGCTTCCTCCGTATAGAATGTGAGCCTATCTTCCAGAAAACCCTGGTGCATTGTGTCACTGAGGTATTATTTTCTTCTTCTTTCTTGTTTTAAAATTTTCTTTTTAAGATTTGTTTTCATTGGAAAGGCAGATCAGATTTACAGAGAGAAGGAGATACACAGAGAAAGATCTTCCATCCACTGGTTCACTCCCCAAATGGTCACAATGACTGGAGCTGAGCCAATCCGAAGCCAGGAACCAGGAGCCTCTTCTGGGTCTCCCACTCGGGTTCAAGGTCCCACGGCTTTGGGCTGACCTCCTCTGCTTTCCCAGGCCACAAGCAGGGAGCTGGATGGGAAGTGGAGCAGCTGGGACTTGAACTGGCGCCCATATGGGATCCTGGCACTTGCAAGGTGAGGATTTAGCCACTGAGTCATTGTGCTAGGCCCATGAGCGGTCATTTTCAACAGGAGACTTCGTACTGACTGCACATACTGCAGCATGTGCTTTGACCTTGTTAGATCTCAGTTCCCACAGGATTATTCTGAAGACGAAGGGAAAATGAAAAACTCGAAGTGCTGGCGGAGCAGTGGGACTTAGCAGCTAAAGCCATTGCTTGGTACTCCTGTCCCAGCTTTTTGGCTTCCCACCCAACTTCCTGCTGTTGTCCACCCTGGGAGGCAGCAGATGATGGCCCAAGTGCTCAGCTTCCTACCATCCGTAGGGGGAGACCTGGATAGAGTTTCTGGTCCCTAGCGTTACCTGATTTAATCTTGGCTTTTACAGATGTCTGAGGTGCAAACCCGTGGATGGAAGACGTCTTTGTACTCCACCTTTCTAATAAAAATGAAAATAAAGTGTTGAGCCTAGCACCAGGCACAATGTGTCACCCAATGTGAGGACAGTAAAGCTTTCAGATTTACCTGGTCTTCACCTGGAGAAGCCCAGCCCAGGTAGATGGGAGGTGAGGGGGTGAGGGGGTGAGGCGACACCCTGAAGTCAGATAACTCAGTGCTGATGGAATGCAGGACACCTCTACCTGCCTACAGGGCGTGGCGGGGACCTCCTGGAGTGACCTAGTGCAAGCATTTTGTAAATGTGTGAAGTGTTAAAGGTTTCACCCCTCCTAGGGACCTGGCATAGCTCTCTAGTGCCCAGAGCAAGGTAAGTCTCAGAAGGCTGGGGACAGGGGAGACTCCGGGAACAGGAAGCGGCACACAGAGCCACCTCACCCTCCTAGTACACACCGAGGGAACTTCCACCTCTTCTTGGTAAAGATGTTTTCTACAAGAAGAGATTTAGAACACCCTAAACCCCTGCTGTCCCTGGTGGCTGCTGAGCTCTTGAAACATGGTTAGTGTTAAGTGTGAAATGCACACTGATAAGAATATAAAAATACCTCACTAGTAATGATTTTATTTTGATTAGACACTGAAGCGCTATTCTGAATAAACTGATCTAAATAAAACGTGAAAAGTTCATCGCAAGGGGCTGGTGTAGCAACAAAAGTTGGTAAGGCTGCTGGCTGTGATGCTGGCATCCTATATAGCCACTGGTTTGAGTCCTGGCTGCCCTGCTTCTGACCCAGCTCCCTGCTAATTCACCTGGGAAAAGAGGTAGAGGAAGACCCACTTGCTTGGGCCCCTGCCAAAGGGAGACCCAGAGGAGACTCCTGGCTCTGGCTTTGGCTTGGCCAGGTTTGCCTACATCCCTATGAGCTTTATTTTAAGCCACGTATGAGGCATTCACTTGCTAGCTCCTTTTACACAAGAGGGACCAACCCAGAGCCACCCAGCCGGGAAGAGATCTGTAGCTGGGACTGGCATTCAGGCAGTTGCTCTGATGTGGATCCCTGCTGAACCACTTCCCTGGCCAGGCATACCTACCACAGCCGCCTCCTCCAGCGAGGCCCGGCCTCACTGAGGTGCTCTGAGGGAGACGTCATTTGCTTGCTGCTCCTCTAGGAGCCCCGGGGGTTGCTGCTATTTCTGCATGACGGAATTAAACCCGTCCAAATTAGAAGGCGGTATTTCATCTCTAATTGGCAAGTTCAAAAGGCCCCTATCGCACTCGGCGGCCTTGGCAAGGTGTAATTAAATAATGTGATTTCTGACTCACTCCGGCCCGGCCCGGCCTGGCCCAGTCCGGTTCTCTGGCCCACAGGCCAAAGTGACTGCTCCAAGTTCCCCCAGTGGCTGCATGAACCCGCAGAGACCCCAGCACCAGAGAGTAAGCAAGGCCAGCAAGGCCTCCCCATTCCCCGCCCCCCCACCCTGCCACCCAGCCACCCCTCCCACGGTCCAGGTTTTGGAGGGAGCCCAGGCTAGGCGCCAGAGATAGGAGCTGGGCTGCAAACAACACCCTCAGCCGGGAGGGTGAGGGTGAGAGACTGCTGCTGGGAGCCCTCGGCTTATAGCTGGCACTATTGGCTAGCCGCCCTGAATGCCACTTCAACTCTTCTGGCCTGAGAGAGGGAGATGGAGGGAGGCAGGGCCGCCTCCTTCGCTGCAGGCAGGAATGAGTTAACGTCTGCATGCGGCCTGGGAACCGCAGCACGGAGGCCTGAGGCTCAAGCACTGTCTTGGCAGGCAGCCTGCTTGGGCCCTTGCCTGGAAGGAGGAGGCCAAGGCCCTGGGGCGGACCTGGCTGCCCAGCTGTGAGCACACGCCCCTGGAGTCCTGCCGCCCCCTGGCGGGCCCGCTTGGCACAGCCACTGGGTGATGGGCAATGGGGGACGGACGTGCCAGAAGGGTCTAATTGCTCACCTGAGCAGGGGACAGCAGCTTTGTCTCCAGCACAACCCTACTCTCCTTCCCTGGCCTGTATTTCCTTTCGCTCCACCTGGGAAGCAGAGGAGGCAGTATGTCCTGGCACCTGGTCCAGGCCATAGGCAGGGAGCTTCCTTGCTCTGGCTATGGAGAAGGGCCCCCTGGGACCTCCCTCTTGGGTGACACAGAGAAGCCTTCCCTGTCCCTCTCCCCTCATTCTTTGCCATACAAGCTGCTGACTTCCTGGTAGCCTCAGTTTTACCCTGAAGCAAGTGGATGGCAAAGTCATGCCAGTTGTCAGGGCCTGGTAATGTTCAGGGTACATTCATTCCATTGTGCTGTAGACCTAAATCTGCCCTAGAACAGGAGATCTGCTTAAAAATTAGATGGGAGAGCAGGGAGAGCAGGGAAAACAGGGAGAGAAGAGCTGGCGCTGTGGTATGTCACCTCCACCTGAGCTTGCAGTGCCAGCATCCCCTGTGGATACCAGTTCAAGTCCAGGCTGCCCCAGCTCCCTACTAATCAGCCTGGAAAGCAGTGGACAATGGCCCCAGTGCTTGGGCCCTGTACTCACGTGGGAGACCTGGATGAAGCACCTGGCTTCTATCTCCTGGCTCCAGCCTGGTCCAATCCTGGCTGTTGTGACCATTTGGGAGTAAACCCAGTTAATGGAAGATATTTTCTCTCTCCTCCTCTCTATGTAGCTCTTTCAAATAAAATAATTTTTTAAAAATTCATGACTTTTTTTCCATACTCATCTTTCCAGACTCATCTTCTAGGCATTTGTTGAAGACCCCCTCCTGTGTTAAAAGTATGAGGCTTGGCACAAAAGGATGTGCCCATCGAAACTGTCTTGCCCACTGGTGGAGTGGGCACCAAGGGACCGCTCTGGGAACCCTGTGCGCTCTGTCCCTGAGTGTTCACAATGCACAGCTCATGGCTCGTTCTCTGCCTGTTCTCAGCTGTCCCCTTTCCAATAGTGTGACCCTCATGCACTTGTCTATGCCTTCATTCTCTGTGCCGTGGCTGAGCAGCGTCTCCTCTGGGCTGGGCCTGAGTCAAGGGCACATAGCAGAGGAACTCCACCCTAGCCCTGCCCTGCTAGAGGCACTCCAGTGAGAGGAGGCCAGGGAGACCAAACCCAGCGGCCTGAGTGCTATGGGACAACGTGGGCGACCAGGGCCTGGGGACTTCCTCCGCACCACCACCTGGTAAAACACCTGCTGAAGACTCCCTCCTAAGGTTCCTTAAACAGCCCGTGGGAAGCTCTGCCTACAAGGCCTGACTCTGCCTACAAAAGAGGTAGACATGGGTATGAGTCCTCATCTCAGAGGGGTTAGGCTGGCGATATCAGATGTTGTCCAAACCCATGGCACGTGATCATAATTGCCTGTGGCTCTGGCTCTGGTCATCCCCAGATGTGGGAGAACAGTGTCTCCCTTCTAAACCCTCTATTGCTCTCATCTGGAATCAGGGCATTTACAGCCAGCACCATCCTCTTGCTAGCTTAGGAAGCTGCAGTCCCACCAGGCACCACCCACCTGTCTCCCTAAGGTCAGATGTGAGCTCTGTGGGTTCTGGCCCGCAGCTGCGGGGAGGAGGGCTGTGCCTCATTGCAAGGACCCTGCCAAGCACCAGGGGCCGTGATTGGCTTAGATAGCCTCCCTCCCGCTCAGCGTCTCACCTGGCTGGTAGACAGACGGCCGGATGCTGGCAGTGGTGACGACCCGGGGCTTGGGCGCAGGGGTCGTAGGGCCCTCGCTGTAGCTGGTGTGGGAGGCAGGTGCTGGAGAGGCAGCCGCTGCAGGACTGTAGGCAGAGGCCTGGGGCCTGGAACTGAAGGGGGGGGAAGAATTACAACACGATGGCCCCAGGGGGTCCTGGGTTTACCCCTAGAACAGATTGGCTCCCCAGTCTTTAGGAGTCCCTCTGTGAGGGAACAAGCTGAGTGCAATATCTCCAGGGAAGAAAGGCCGGGAGTCTTGGGAGTGGGGAAGGGAATTCTCCTGGGGTGGCTAGCGCGTCTGTGCTGGGAGAGAGGGAGGAAGACCAGCACCCTATGGGAGATAATGCCCGGGAGGGGCTGGGGTGCTGTGGAAGAACCTGAAGCAGGACACAGGGAGGGACAGAGGTGGTCAGAGCTGTCCTAGAGCTTCAGGTTTCTAGGCAAGAAAGCCCCAGGAAGGAGTTCATGAAAAGGTCTCCCAACTGCTCCATTTAATGCATACATATACACAAACCCGCACCTGCATGCACACACACACTCTTCTATACAGAATTCCTGCCGCCTTTCTCCAGCAGTTAGGGGTAAAAGGGCATACTAACAGTCTTTTCCCACTGGGCTCCAGGGACTATATGGGACAGAGAGGCGGGAAGAAGTGTCCTAGGGGTAGCATTCGCCCTAGCAGTTAAGATGCCCACATCCTACACCAGAGCCCATGGGGGTCCATATCCAGCTGCGACTCCTGACTCCAGCTTCCTGTTAACACAGAGCCTGGGAGCTGTGGTGATGGTTCAAGTAGGAGAGTCCCTGCTGCTCACAGGACAGAGTTCCTACAACCCCTCACCCAGACATGGAAGGAATTCGGGCATGACCAGCAGATGGGTGCACTCCCCCACAATGTGAGTAAGTGTGTGTGCCTCCACAATAAGCTTATGTTTGTAAGGTGTCTAGTTCATTGCCTCAGGAAACACCATGCTCAGACTCTTACCTCACAGAGGCTCCTGGCTCCAAGAACCTCTGGAGTTTCACTAACCTTGGCTGACCCGTGTTTTCCGATTTCTTTTGTTTATGAAACTCTTCCCTTGGTATGCAATAAATGCACACCTTACAGAACTCACCCATGCTTGTGTGCCTGCATGGAACTCGCGTGGCCCTGCAGCCACTGGGTGCCACCAGGGCCACGCGACCACACCTACACCCACAACAAACAGGTCATTGGTGGGGACAATGTTGAAGGAAGCCCTGCAAATATCAGGGGTATTCCAAAAAGTCTGTGGAGCAAGTGGACTTAAATGGTAAGTTTGTTGCAGTGCAGGCAGTTGCTAAATGCATACATAATGTTTTGGGTTTTTTTTTATACATATAGCACACATTTTCCACTGACTTTCTGAAGACCCCACATATGCTGTCCTCCTCCCACACCCCTTGTTTTTGGCTTCCGTCTTCCTGTCATCTTTCTGCGTGTTCCCCGTAGGCCCTGACTCTTCCTATCCTTAGGGGGCAGAGAGGGCATGCCTTCCTCTCTAGGGTTCTGGGAACTTCCCAATTTGCCAAGGTTCTATTGGAATGAAGCACTGTCCTGCCTCTCTGGGCCCATCTGTGGATAGCCCAGTGGATGGGGGAAGGGCTCAGTACAAGGGAGTCCAATGGATGCTTGGCTTCCACTGTGGCCAGAGAAGGGTCAGGGACAAGGGTTCTAGGCCAGATTCTGCCAGCAGTAGGGGATTCTGGGCCAGAGTCTTGGGACCTTGGGGTCCTGTGCCAGGGACAGGAGGCATAGACCAAAACTGCCCAGTAAGCATTTTGAAGTCATCCCCTCTTGCCTCCCAGGAAGCCCTCCAGCTCCAGGCCAGTTCATGTGCTGTGCTGGGCAGGGCTGGCAGCTGGGCTCAGAACACTACCACTCAACCCCTTCTGCTCCAGCCCAGTGTCCTGCTATGAAAACTCCTGGGACCCACGTCAAATTCTAGAGAGGCCTCAGGCTCTCCTGGCAGGGCAAATGGCAAGAAGGACTTGCCCTGTTGAGAGTGCCCCAAATGGTTGCACATCAGGCAGGTTGGGACATGGAGGCCTGAAGCTGGTGCCAGAGCCTGCCCCTGAGCGGGGCTAGGGCCTCGGCCTCTGGTGCTGAGTTCTTGCTCTCTACAATTTCCTCTCTGCATAAGTTGCAAGGCCCTTATATGATGTAGCTTGTTAAATGTCACCAAGAAAACTGGTGGCCCAATGCTGGGCTCCCATGTGAGGCTTGAGTTTGCACTAGGAAAAGACCAGGCTTGGAACTACATGGGTCAGTGTGAAGTCTAGGCATGTGTAGCCTGGCTCAGTCCTGCTACAGCCTGCAGTCACGGACTCATGTACCCCAGCCTAGAGACACACTTCTCCTGTAGAGAGGCAGCTTGAGAATCTGGCCGCTGACCCCTGGTACCAACTAGATGACTTATTGGAAACCCAGGGAGCTGGGCCAGCAGCCCTGGCTGTGGCATTTCCTCCCTGCTCCAGAGTGACCAGAGTGACCTGTCCAGCCTGCCTCAGACCTCCCTGTACCTGCTCCTCATCTTGGCAGATATACAGGAGGACCCCCAGGTCCTTTTGCCCTTTTTCTGGTCTAAGTGCTTACATATGTTTGTTTTTTCACGACCCTATGCCGAACATCCTAGCATGAGAAGAACTGGGGTTTGTAGTGGTTAGGTCACTTTCTCGAGGTCACAGTTAAGTGGCACAGCAGAGATTGAATCCCACTATACCTGCTGTCTATCATGCTGATATCCTTCTTCATCAAGCAAAGGAAATGTATTGGAGATGAGCATGTTGGTGGCTAAACTCCAGCTGAGCAAATCTCACCTTTCTCCCACGCCCAGTTCAAGACTCCCTCTTTCCAAGAAGCCATTCTTGGTCTCCCCAAGTCCCCAGGAATGACTTTCATTCTTTCATCAGAATTGAATGCACATTCCCCCTTTTTACATCTGACTCTGTGTGTGTGTGTGTGTACACGCTGAGAGCGACAGAGCGAGAGAGAGACAGAGGAAGGACTTTTACCTCTCTCACCGGAGCATGTGTCCCTAGGGACAGGGCAACATCCCTGGGCAGGGCCTCTCCTGTGCCCCATCTCTGCAGTCAGGGCTGGCACTGTGGGCATTTACCTTGGACCATCCGCAGGGCTTGAGGCAGGGGCTGCGTGGGCAGTGGCTGCAGCCAGGGGCGGCGAGGCTGGGCTGGGAGAGGCGGCAGCAGGCAGCTGGGCAGAAGCGGGCAGCAGCGGGGTGGCGGCCTGGTTGGTGCACACTGGAGCATGCTCAATGGGGGTGCTGATGAGGCGGACCGAAAAAGACAACAGGTCAAAGGGGTCCCTAGACCCCCTAAGGCCCCCAGACCCTGCAAGCAGCCCCCTCTGTGTGAAGGTGGCTGTTCTTGGCAGAGGTGGGCTGAACAGGAAGCACCATGGGCACAGCACAGAAGCCTCCAGTGGGTGTGTCCTTTGGGGTCAAGGCCAGAGATCCGCCAGCAGCCTGGGAGGGACAGCTCAGACCCCAGAAGAATACCCTCCGTGTGGGAGATATTTCCTTTCCCAAAATGTCCAAACTTACTTAGTTTTCTTTCTCAGCAGAACACCATGCAATGAAGAAGTAGGGTGGATTACCCACCAGGTTCTATCTGTTCTGTTTTCCTCTTGCTTCCATCTTTCCCCACTGCGCTGGGGCATGCACTGCATGGACCCCGGGGAGGGATGAAGTAGCAAACAGAGCAGAGGCCAACATCTGAGCATCTAGGGCTTAGCCACTGGAGTTCTGAGAACCCGAATATGAAGCTGAGAAAAACTCAGGACCCTAACACTACCTTTACAAGATGTGTGACAGCCACCTGGCCAGTTCTCTCAGTCGCGAGAGGGCAGTGGGGTATACGGGAGTCAAGACAGAGGCACCTGTGTCCTTTTTAGGAGTAAACCCTGGGGAAGCAGCCGAGCCACAGGCTTCCCCATGCCCATGCTGAGGGGCCAGATGGCCCAAGAAACCCATGCCGAGGTGTGGCCAGGACATGGCCCTGAGCACGCTCAGATCTGGAGGCTTTGCCAGAGAGAAGGATAGAAATGGATGCTCGGTGTGGACAGGTGTGTATGCATGAGGGGCTGGTTGGCTCAGAAGATGCCAGAAGATACCACGACTGATGATGAGATGCCTATGCATCCCACCCCCAACGCCTGGGCACTCTGTGGGCATGCCATCCCTGGAAACACTCCGAGAAGACTGGAGCGGCCAGAGCCTGGACTTCATGGGATTAAATGTGTTACCTGTGAAATGGGGGCAGAAGGGAAATTAAATTCTAGAAAAACAAATGCAGGTGCCTTGAGCTTCACTGTGTTCCCACATCAGCACCTCCTGCTTTGATTCTCATCTTTGGCTCCTGACTCCCATTCCCTGCTAAGGCAGACTGTGAGGAACAGTTTCTGTCCTGCACGTGAGAGACACCCAACTCCCACTCCAGGCCAGCCCCAGGCTTTGTGGACACCTGGAAGTAAACCAGCAGACAGGTCCTCTAGCTTGCTATCTTTCAAATAAACAAATGGATTTTTAAAATGGAAACGTGCATTCTTTTCCCTTCAACTTGTATTGCAGCAGCAACAGGAGAAACGGACCTCCACAGGTGGGTGCAGCCTTCTGCTCAGCATCTCCTTTGTCACTCACTTCCTGAGCTCACTCTGTGTGCCTGCTTATCATGCTCTGAATTTCCCACAACAGCCCTCCACGGTGGATATCGTGGACTCCACTAACAGGTGGCAGAATGAAAACCCAGGGAATTCAGTTGCTCAGTGACGTTTTGATGTCCCAGACCTTATTGCTAGGGATGGGAGAATCTGATCCCTGGAAAGAAAGAAATGTCTTCCCGTGATTGGCTAAGTAGATGCCGTGTCCCGCCCCTGCCACAAGGTGTGACTCAGATGGGCACTGGTTAGAATTATGATGTTTCCCCTTGCTGAGTGTCTGTCCAAGAATGAGCACACCCCACCACTACGCCCATCCTCTACTCGATCCCCTCCATCTCCCCAGGCCACTGGTTTTCCAAGCCTGGCTTCTTGCATGGGCATTCTGAGGTTCAGAAAGGTTGTTCTGGC